TCTTCCAACTCAGACCCTGTCAATCAGCGTTTATGTTACCGTTACTCTCACCACATTCTCTTGTGTGTCTTTTTCTTTGCCACTCACCAGATGCACATCTGTGTCTATAGACAGCTGCTGTGTGCAGCTGAGGTTACTAAAGTGTGGAGATGTCTCTCATTAAACCGGGGTGTGAATCTGCTGGCGCCCCTCACACAGCCTGGAAACTGACACTGATATAAACACCCCCCATGTCTGCAGGCAGATGGATTCAATCCACTGACATTGACCTGCACTTGTGTGAATACATGACAATTGAAATGACACATCCAATACCATGCATTTAGAATAACGTGTCATTTCTTTTATCCCAGCTCTGATGCTACAGATGAATATCAGTGATTTATTGAGTTTCATCTTCAAATCAACAATGATTACATAGGAATGAGCCTATTTCTAATTACCTTGAGGAGTTTTAGGATTCCGGAGTCAGACAGAACTCACATGGCTTCAAAACAAAAAGCACATTTTAGATGACTTTAAAATACAACACTGTCTGCTCCTCTACTTTCCAGTATTTGAGATTTGCTGCCTCTTAATTAACACCAGACAAACACACAGCCTGCAGTTGATAGTTGTGCATTTGAAAATGTAGTCGCAGCTGCGAAACAGCAGACAACGGCACGGCTCCCTATTGTTTCAAACTCCTTTTTTTTTCATGAACTCAGTTTTACCTTCTTCAAACTGCTGACTCAACGCAATACAATTCTCCTTCTTTTTTTAAATTTTATTGTGTGTGCGTTCACGGGGTGGAGATCACATGCAGTCAAGTCTGAATGCAAAGTCTATAGAGGATAGGGTGAGAGGATACTTGAGCATCATCTCGGAAAACTGCAAAGGAAAATGTAAAATGACCTGAATGCTCTGATGTAACACTTTCAACTTTAATATAATTGTTAATATAATGTAATTGTAACTGTAGAGGGCTGAGATCACCCTGGTTTATAAAGAAGGACAGGTCCCCTGTGGTCAGCTCTGCACCTTCAACATTGTCAACGCAGCAACTCTGATCTACTTCAGATACTGAAGGGATAAACTCTCACTCCTTCTCTTTCACCTACATTAACTGGATAGTTCAAGTTCAGGGCATCAGGACATACAGTTGAGGACAACATTACTATGAGAGAAATCATTTTTGAAGTATTTTCCAGATTAAAAACAAACAGTGGAATTAGACTGGAGAGAAAAGATTTGTAAGAGCTCACAAAGCAGAACAAACGTGAAGTTTCATACGTTAGGAACTGGAGATAGTGCCAAACAAAACTGACAGATGTAGAAATCAACTTTTCGGAAAAGGATCGATGCATAATGTAAGAGATGAATATGCTCAGATTTCCACTGGGAGTGACCAGAGTGGACAGGATTAAAACTAAGCAGATCAGAGGGACAGTTACAGTGGAACAGCTTGGACATCAAGTTATAGAGACACTGAGGTTGAGGTGGTTTGGACGTGTGTTGAGGAGAGATGGATATTTTTGGATAAAGGATGTTAGAGATGGAGTTGACAGGCAAGAAGAGAGGAGGAAGACTTCAGGGAAGATTGACATGGAAATGGTTGGTGTCAAAGCAGAGGAGATAGAGTGAGATGGAGGCAGATGGTTCTCTGTGGTGACCCCTGATGTTATGAATTCCTGTGTTAAATGTGTTTTTTCTGGGTGGAGAACCTTATTGTACACATGTAGCCATGTTTTTGTATAAATCCGTGTGCAAAATTTTGCTAAAATCTGATGTAACACTGTAGACCTCCCACACCCTGAGGGCTGATGATGAATTGTTTTCAATTTAAACATATGGCTCTCAGTAAAGAGCTGTAATGTTGACAGACACACAGCCCCAGTTTCAAGAACACTGTTTACATTATCGACATGCCACATGTAATGTGGAGTTTCTCTTGTACTTATTATCTTGTACAAATTCATTTGCTGTGGCCTGTGATGTCACAGCGCCTTAATGCTCTTTAGAATCACATTATGAAATTACAGAGCTGGGAAGTTAGTTGCTATTTCAAAGTTCATAATTTAAAGATGTCTCACAGTGGTAGTGATGTGCTGCATTCAGAATACTGAGCGCTTACACTGTTTGGATCACACTAGATCATTACCTCATACAGCCCCATTAAACCAGATCGTAGATAATGGGTTGGCAGGTGAAACCATAGCGGCCCAGTAGACCAGCTGAAAGAGTCCCAATGAGATTGTATTGTCTGATGAGCTATAATGACTGTCCTAAATAGAGCTCACGCCTTCTGTGTGTGTGTGTGTGTGTGTGTGTGTGTGTGTACGACAGGTTTTGTTTCCCATTATTTCCAAATCAATACAATGACAAGACAAGGGGGAGAAAATAAAAAGAAGACAATGATGAAAAGATGAAAAGGACAGAAGGATCACACCTTAGGACCTTGTGGGGATCTAATGTGAAAAGACAAACCTAATGACCGCATCAAGGAACGCACAACACAGTGGATCAGCGCTGTGTAACCATAACACCAGGTCACACAGCATCAAACCCTTAATAAAGTCATATTTGTTCTCTGCTCTGTCTGCAGGTGTATGTGAATGGGGAGTGGGTGACCAATATTGGAGAAGGGGGCAGTTTTGGAGAGTTGGCCCTGATCTATGGAACCCCTCGAGCTGCCACGGTCAAGGCCAAGACGGATCTCAAACTGTGGGGCATCGACCGAGACAGCTACCGCCGCATCCTCATGGTACGTAGGTCAACATAAACCCACTCAGTACAGTACAGTCCACTCACATCTGTCACACAGTTACCCATAAGGCACCTCCTAGGTAATGTCAATGGTACTACACCTCAGGTAAAACATTTTGTCAAACAACATTTTGAAGTGTCTTATAGACACATGTTCCTTTGTTTATGGTTAACAACTAAACTTGTTTTTGTTGCTAAAACCAGTGGGGGAAAAAACAAACCAGATAATTTACTTGAAATACTGTTTATGAATATGAGTCTAAGTGAACAAGGGCAGAAGAGCAGGAGAGGTCTCTCCACCTCTGGAGGGTGTTGAGGGAGTTGGAGGAGACACAGGGTCAAGACGGATGCCTCCACCAGAATACATGTCCTGCTCCAGGAGCCAGGATCTAACAGGAATGTCTAAATGTTTAAACTGGAATCACTAGGTGCTCTGGCCTAACTGTCATACCCACAGCCTTCTGTCTGTCTGTCTCTCTTTTTTTTCTCCCTCTCTCTTACACTCTCACACTAAGTACCACACAGCTGCACAGCACTGCATTTAGCAAACTATTCTTCCTTAAATGTTCTTCTTATCTAAACTAAATGATAACAAGATAACCGTCCAAATTCAGTGATAACTCTGCTCTTGGAAACTTTTTTTTTGTATCCACACAGATGAGTGAAGTTTGTTTTTGGACCTTTCAGCTCAGTGTAAGTTGGCAGTGCCACAGGGCTGCCCAGCACTCATGTCACCTCTGAAGCACATAGTTTAACCGAGGGCACAGTCTGCCCTGGTAACCCTGCTTTAGAGAGGATTTTTTTACCCTCTGTTTCTCTTTCTCTCTCACCCTCTCTCTCTCTCATTCCTTCATTCCTTCCAGCAGCAGCACTACAGAAGACGGGGTGAAACAGAATTGAGTTATGTGAAGCTGTAGTTAATTATTGCTGTCAATGATTTGTAAAGCGGTTTTTATAAAGTGTGGTATTCTGGCAGCATTGTTGGCCAACACAGTGAGCACTCTCCCACTGCCACTCTCCCTGTTAACTCTGTGTGTGTGTGTGTGTCTGTGTGGTGTTTTCCTGTGAAATAATTCCTAGAGTCTGCAGCTCGTTAGTTTGCTAGTTAGGATCTTGGGAAGGTGGGCTGCTGCTGTGCTACCATCATTTTCATCGCTTGCACATCTGCTTCTCTACAGTCCTGCTGTACAGAATCGGTACATTTACATTAACTGCAAACTGCAAAAAAAAAAAAAAAAAAAGGATAAAATAACAACTGCAAATTTGAAGGAGAATTTCTACGTGTGTTGTCAGTCAAGTTTAAGAGGGGGGAAAAGGGCAAACCTAATTATAATTAGTACTCAACAATGGAAAAAAAGGTCATTTCTGTGCATCATTCACCTCTGGTCTACACATCACCTCTGAATGATTCCATTGTAAAACCATGTTGACACGGTTTCTGTATGAAAACACTGATGGCGGTGAAATTTTCTTGTAAAATTAGAGCCTTGAAAAACCACCTCCTCCTCTGCTCCACCCCCCCAGAAGTTCATTTTGTAAACAGAGTAATAACACTGTGATAAATACACACTCTCTTTTGTGTTACAGACACCGGTACAATACTCTCCTTGTTGTGTCATCTTTTTTTTTTCTTCTGCAAACTTTATTTAAACCCGCAGCTACAGACACATCATTAACAAACTAACAGACCACTGTCAACAAACAGAACACGAGACAAAAGGAGACAAGGAGGAATAAAACCCAAGAAAGGAGAAAGGTTGTGTCCGGGGTGTTGGTGTTTCACATTGGACACAGATGAAGGTGACGGTGATGGGGCACGAGGTGAGGCTGGTTTATACTGGCTGCTCTCCACACCTTAACTCTTTGATGAGTCGACCTCAGAGACAGTGAGCAGACACAGAGGCTGGTTCATCTTTAACCACTGGAGGAGAGAACACATTAGCGCCAACAGGAACATGGGGGGGGGGATTGGTGCATGAAATATGTGCACGGGCCCTCCCAGGTCGGCAGGAAGGAGAAGCACAGATGCAGAGATAAAGAATGCTTGCAGAAAACAAAAGATATGAAGCAGCGAATGATCATTTAAAAAATGCGCTTTTCAAGTCAAGTCAGGTTCAATTTTTCACTTCATCAATCTCAGAACTTACTACGATCTAATTCACTTCACTCTTGTCGCTCTTGCCTATTTTCTTCTGTCCATATCAAACCAGCTTTATTTTCTATATCTATCAAATCTGTTTCTATTAAATGCCATTATATAAATTATATTTGTGGTAATAATCCAAACTCTTAATAAGGATTACACTGTAGTGAGATGAAACATAAAAAGAGGAAAATACAATTTCATGTTATTTGTGCATTCAATATTTGCAGTATTATTCTAAAGAATTAGTAGTTGTTTTTTTTTTTTAAAAAATCAGCAATCATTAGATCAGATGCTTTAAGCTAGTGATCATTGACGCGTGGCCCGCAGGCCAAATTCAGCACACCAAACCTTTTGACCTGGCCTGCAACTGGATTTTAACATTGTCTCACAGTCTCACACATCACCTGTCTCTACACAGTAATTCTGTCTCCCTCTCCTCCCCACTGACATGCTCATCACTATTGCTGTCCATCATGGTGACTTCTAATGTAAATTTCAGCATCTTTAATTCTACCTCCAGCAGCATCACACACTACACATGTATCCAGTGTGGCCAAGACTTAGGCTCTTAAGCTCAGCAGTTCAGTCTGTGGAGTTCTACAGTAAACATATATAATCATCATGAAAAAAGATTTGGGAAGTTATTGCGTCCCCGTGTATCCAAACTTGCATGTGAGAGTTAGAGTTAAAAGCAGACTCCATATGTGCAAGTGTTTGGATTTGCTTCCTTAATGAGCCTAAAGTTTCTCCTCTGCAGCGACAGTAACAAAACACAAGTGGCAGAAGAACTAAAAACAGACTGTGTTTGCCACACACACATTCTCCTACCCACACAACAACTCTGTCCCTCTGCGTACACATAGACACACACCAAGTCAAATCATTTATGCAGCAGGGAGGCGATGCAGCCTAGAATTCCTTTAATCAAGTTGTTTACGATTTCGACTTTGACGTTGGCTCACTTGGGAACATTTTCTCCCCTTTTAAGACAAAATGTGAAATTATATGAAATTAGAGGCAGCAGCGGGACTCAGGCACTTACACACCAAAGACACCCTAAGCCTCAATATATCATTTCCATATGCAAAGGCAGACACAGGGCGGGCGGACGGTAATGTCTCTCCTCACTCTCTCCTTCTCTCTTCATGTTCCCACTCTGGCTGAGTGGCTCCACGCAGTGAGGAAGAAGAAAAGTAAAAAAGAAAACGCAGTCAGGGAAGGAGTTCATCTGGGTCTAGACCTGTCAGGAACAAACTGATGTTCATGGCAGAGGCAGAAGGGGGAAAGCCCCCTGCTCCCAGGGCGGGTGGGGGTGGCGTGGGCCACACACGTATGCATGAGCGTTACTACTGTATGTACGTGGCTTACCGCTGTTGTCAGACGTACATTAATTACATGAACTTCGCCCTTTGTGCGGTCAGTTATCCTAAAAATGTAATTCCGTAGAATAATCTGACTCCTTATTTACTTTGCTCTGTTATAAGTCATTTAGCACTAGTTTTTTACGTCATGTGGTGTGCGTTTTTACAGCCAACCAATGCATGGGCTAACACAACACATGGTGACACACAACTGTTATAACACAGTGGTGTGTTAACACATCACTGTGTTATAGGCATTCAAATACATCAGTGATACTGCATATTGAGTACATATTTCCTCCTTTTCCTACTGTAATTTCCCACCAAATATGCAAATTTTAGGTTGCTGGTACGCAACAGTTGATTTCTGCACATACATTTTTTTTTCTTTTTTTTTCTTTTTTTTTTTGAATATTTTTATGTTTATCTGTTTCACTTTTACAATTAAGACAATATATATTATTTAAATGCATGCTAAGTCCAAGCTAAAGTTGTAGCTTGAGTCAGCTGATTGATTGCATTATTAGCAGGGGAAGAAAATTCATTTTGATTAGAGAGGACTAAACTTCCATTTAGTTCTGACTTTGCTTCTTGTTTTTTGTCAAGCGTATTATTCTGTGTAGTATATTTGTGTTGCTTATGCTCGGATACACATTACTTTCTGTGATTACAGTTTTTTCGTGAGCGGAAAAAGTGTTTGATCTGTAACTGTGCCCAAAATTCCAGCCTTGCTGCTGATGCTGCTTCAGTGTCAAAGCCTGGGAAGTAATTTACGGAGCGTGCACAATAAATAATTACTACACTGACGGACTGATACACGCATTACCGGATGTGCTAGTATAACTTTGTGTAGTACCATCAACAGGAATAACATGTTTACAAGAACTTTCAAAAAAAGTTCCAGTCTTAGTTTTGAACAGGACTTGAATGTTTTTCACCATGATAAAAATGGATCACTGCCTGCCGTGCACAGATACTCTGAGTTTTAACACCAGGAAAGTGCAAATTATGTGCTTCTCTAAGTAGTAATTTAAATTTGAGGAGTTCAGGACTCCAGCAAAACGGTGTCAGAGACACTCTCTGAAGCAAGACCCACATTTGCTGCTACTGTGAAAAACTACTAATTTGTAGAGATGAGAAAAGGAGAAAACCATCTGTCATGACACCAGATTTCAATAAATCAGTTTTATATCTTAAAACCATGAACTCACGATCACCATTTTTTTTCTCAGACTAATCACAGTTATCATTTTATCATGAGATGTGCAGCACTGCCGTGCAATTATGGAAAGAGCGGGTCGTCGTGTGGTAAAGTGTGTTTCTCTTACAGGGCAGCACACTGAGGAAGAGGAAGATGTATGAGGAGTTCCTGAGCAAGGTCTCCATCCTGGGTAAGTCTGTGTATGTGTGTGTGGATTACAGGGTCTGTAGTTCTACTCCCTTTGTTTGTTTCTGTATTTTCAAAGAGGCTGAAACATGGCCGTGTTTTCATCTGCCTACCCAGTTACACATAATTCTTCAGCAGCAGGTCAGAGAGTCCAGAGTGCAACACACTGTATACTGTAGATTAGCCCGCATAAACACAGGCGCGAGTTGTCACACAAAGCCCATAGCAGTGTTTGTCTGAGTGTACAGTCCTAATCTTCTGCTCATGCTGAAGCCACTCTCGTTGCAGCGTGTCTGTGTGGACAATTACAGAATGGGGAGTTAAGCTAAGCCTCTCTTTTCCCACTGGAATTAGGAGAACACGGGCCTGCACAGGCCATTGAGTTTAGTGAAAACAGCGAATGAGATTCATTCAGACTTTTCAAAACCAGTCGCAAATGGAAGTGACATCTCATCCCTTTCCACTCAATCGTGTGTGTGTGGTGTATAGAGCAAGGCCATGCCCCCTGTACAGAGTTATTAGCTGGCTGAGTAAACACATACACTCAGCTCAGGTCTTAAGAGAATGTCTCTACGAGGTCCGTTCTCCTTTCATTCATCTCCTTTCTTCTGCGCCTCCCTTTTTAGACAGCCTTGTTCGGGCCTGCATTCAGGCCCTCGCATCTCACTCCGGAGTGCTTCCCTTCGTCTCATTTCTCTTTCTGTCACTCTGGCTCTGTGAATTGGAGGAGGGGTAGGAGGCGGGAGTGTTGTTGTTTGTCTTTGATTCTTGAGATAGCCACGAAATTGGGGACAAGCCCTTGATGTCGTGGAGCGGAGGGTAGAAAAAACAACATGTTCTTTGTCACACCAACACACCGGACAGGACGCTTTTGGCGTCTAAATAGCCAATTGTGTGTGTCACATATGTGTGTGTGTGTGTGTGTGTGTGTGTGAAGCGAGGTGATCCAAGTGGGTGCAGGCTCCGCGAAGCATGAAACGTAGCTTCTTCAGTCAGCACATTTGTGGATCACGTTACCTGTCGGGCTGTTAAGGATCACTTCTATAGAATCTTGAGCTTACAGCCAGACAGAGGACATCCATCTGGGACCAGCAGACACCCCGGCCCCACCAGAGGGGACACTGGACACCTACAGACATCCAGAGCTGCACCTTAGTTAATCCTGAGTGCACCCACACACACACACACACACACACACACACAGGGATCAGTTTCTCAGCTCATGGGAGACAATAGTCTCCCGAGTCTTACGCCTCTGACTTACAACCCGTCAAGAGACACAGAAGAGAGTTCTCACTGCAGATAAGTGATCTAACTGCATGAAAGGTGAGTGAATCTTCTGTGTGAAGACATTATTGGATCTGGTGTCTACAAAAATAAAACATCATCTTCAGCTGAGTAAGTCAAACCTCTGTGGAACATTTTTTCCCAGTGGAGATGTGTGACCATCTGTGTTTTTGGGATTCTGCGTGAATACCAAGAGCTTCTAGAAATACCTCGGGCTAACCACCTCACTGTACGTGTGGTTGGACAGTCGGAAAGACAGCTGTTGCCACTGGCGTTTGAGATCCACACCAGACCAAAAAGATTCCATCGGGTTTTGCAGGACGCGCTCACAAGTTTATAAAAGAAGTGAAAATGGACCAGTGGCAGAAAGAAATCTTAATTTTAGACTTTATAGCATCAAACATGTGAAGTAGAACACACACTGCACTGTTTTTGATCATTCCCTGGACTTATTTATGTTTAGCAGGTTAAAACTTTGCTGAATATTTTGTCACATAATCGATACCTCTGTGATCTGTGAACTAGTTACACTGTTAACACACTTACTGATACACATGAGTTCTCTGTTCACAGAGTCTTTGGACAAGTGGGAACGTCTGACTGTGGCTGATGCTCTGGAACCGGTCCAGTTTGAGGATGGAGAGAAGATTGTGGTGCAGGGAGAACCTGGAGACGACTTCTTCATCATTACAGAGGTAATGTGAAAGTGGGTGTATATGTGTGTGTACTTTGTGTACCAGGATGTAAATCTTTTCTTTCTGATTGGTCACTCTTAATTACTTCTGTTATGATGACCTAGAAAACAAAGTTACTGAAAATAACTTGACCATCAACCTGACAGAGGACAGGATTGGGGAGAAGGAGCAAGTCACCCACCCAGTATATGGAAACAGTAGGGGAAACCTCCTCCTACTGTAGGACAGACCAATGTCAGACAGAGGAAGTGAAGATGAGAGGATACGATTGGTCCAGCTTTGGTTGCACAAACTTCTCTCCCATCTCTCTTTGCTGTACGTGTTCTGATTCCTGAGAGGCCCACATGTCACGTGTCACAAGCGCATCGTTAATTAGGTTGAAGGGCTAACGTACGTGGCATCATGCAGAGATCATAGTGAAGTCTTTAATGAGGTCAGAACTGATCCTGGTTTATTACCAGCAGCAGACGCCGGTGTTTCCCTGTTGTATTGCTCCATCACTAATTCTGTGAGAACAGCCCTGGCGCTGCAGGCTTTGTTAAACTGGGGCCCTTGTTAGGAAGACCCCCCCGCCCCTGCCTGTCATTCCAACTACCACACCTACACTGTTTACTTGGGCTGATTTATTCCATAAACCCCAAGAGGTGGGACTGCAGTATTTTGTCATGTCGTCATTGTCTCCTCCGAATCTCTGCTTTAATTTATTGTCAGTCTTTATCAAGATGTCACCAATTCACCAAGATAACACGTCAGGAGTGAACCTGCTTTACAGTAGCTTTGATTCCTCACTTTTCAGACCTACCGCAACCCAAAGGTTTTAAGTTCCAACTTTCAGTGTTCTGGGAACAATGAAACACCTGTGACTCTTTTTCTTGACAAAACAAGACAAAACTGCACCAGGTTTTATATGTGTGTATATATATATATATTATTATTATTATTATAATTACTTCCTTCTCTGCAAATCAGAAGCCATGCATCTGGTTTTGTCACCATGACATCTAAAACAGCTGTCGTAATATAGAGTAGAGGCAGGGGCTGTCACACAGACGACTGACGCTGAGCTCTTAAATCCCAATTGGCTGCTGCGTCTTTTCAAATGTAGCAAACCTGAATATAAAGCCAAAAAGCTATGTGTCCCTGATGAAGTACTGCTACTCTGTAAAATACTCTGTAAGTACACATCTCACATCCACCTCACAGTCTTGGTCAAGAATCAGCCTCCAATTGAAACCTCGCAAAGCGGCAGAAATCCCTTAAAAGCTGTTTGTGCAAAATATGAATCCAGTTGGGGTTTGGGAGGCAAAATATAGCAGTTAGTAAAGCATGAGTCATCAGTCTGAGGCGTTTTAACATCCTTGAGAAGGGAAAGGCAAAAAATGCAGAAAATCTTTATAGGATTATAGGATAAGAGACGGAGGAGGCAGCAGTAAGCAGCCAGTACATTCCTTCTCCAAATCTCAGTCTTTGTGAATGTGACACAACAGAGGATTTGGAGCATCACTGAGAAACTTGATTATTTGACTCAAAGAAGAAAGTCTTCCTTTCATCTACATTATGGTTTCTCCTGATGTCTTTAATTTTCCCCTTAGCTTTCTTGTGTCTCAACACATGTCAATCCTTGCCTTCTCTCTCTCTCTCTCTCTCTGTGTCAGTCATCTAGCAGATCCTGATTTTCCCAGAGCAGGGTGGACTGTGGTGGAATGTGCACTGCTGACTTTCACACGGGGTCAGGAGTCCCAGCCTCCCGAGACAGAGAGAGAGACAGAGAGGGAGAGACAGAGATGAAACGAGAGAGAGAGAGAGAGATGAGTCAAGGAGGACAGAGCAGGAAGTGACAAACAGCCAGAGAGGAAGTTGAGAGAGGTGTTTTGATTTACATTATTTACACAGACGAGTGAGCAGCAACATCATCACCGGCTGCTTTTCTTTCTCACATGGAGACTCATTGTCACCCTAGACCTCATCATCATCATCATCATCATCATCTTCATCTTCACACCATAATAACGTAGTCACTAATGACATGCTTCAGAAGGAGAGGATTTACTAAAGTGAAACGATGACACTTTCTCCATCAGCCAGAGGAACAAGTGTCTGATGAAAGGTGAAAGGTTAACATGGACTGTCCAAAGACTGAATATCTCTCAGTTTAAACTCAGTCCAAATGACTGTTCTCTGTTCAGACATGGTGAGGAACGACTACCAGGAAGAGAGAAATATATTGTTAATTGTATATGCTGTGTATATATATATATATACAGTAGTAAGATCATAGTCCAAAATATATATATATATACACATATATACATATATATATATATATTTTGGACTATGATCTTACTACTGTATATATATATATATACATATATATATATATATATTTTTTTTTTTTTTTCCATTAATACAGAAAGACTAATGCTAGAAGTACAGATTAGTGGACAGGTCATTTCGCTCTCCCAGGTCATGTTGGCCTCTCAAGTGTATTTTTGTCTTTAAATTTGTTCCCAAAAATAAAAAAGTGTAAAAATTCAAACACTGAGTTTAAACATGGCCAAATTCTGGAGCCACAGATTAATTGACAAATTAAACTTTCAATTGTGGCTCACAGAAAAACGTGTGTTTTTTGCTTCACCTACAACCACATAACAATATCACCTCTGTCCGTGAGAGCTTTAGTTGCTCGTTAGTTTTAAACTTTAGACCAAATTAACCCTAAGTCTTCCATAGTGTCCTGGTCAGAGGTGAAAGGAAAGGGTTCAGTGATGTTTGGTTTTCTTACATCTGTTCCTGTTCCGTCTGACATGTGTCCCCGACACCACACAAAAATCATTACACAGAGAGGATATAAAAGGGTCCCACGGGGGTCTCAATGAAGACACATTTTCTGTTGTTTACAAATAGCTTCTGCACAGAAACAATCTAGTTAATGGAGCCGAACAGTTTATGGACTACAGATCAATGCAGTTTATGTTTGAAACCACTTTTTTCTTGAGTGCAATTGTAGACCCACAAGTGACCAGGAAACTAATGAGCAGCGAGGGATCGTACCAGTCCGTCTGCACCAACACATTCTGGTCTCCATTCATTTGTTCCTGTGTCTTATTCTGGATTTGTTGTGTTATCTTCGTTTCTGTCTGTCCTCTGCACCCTGTGACAGGCAGCGTGTGAACTGGAGCTCTGATGTTTATAGAAACATCTGTCTGTGGAGCTGCCCTCGGGGTGGCACTGTGTGAGATGGTTATCTGGACCACACTGCCTGAGGGGTAGGGCGGGGGGCTCTGTTCACTGCACGACTACTGTACATGAAGACACTGCACTGCCTCACTTTGTTTGGACATGAAGGAAACAGAGAGAGAGTAAAGGACAGCAGCGTCAGTCTCTGGTCCTCACTCACGTCTCCGTCTCTTTCATAGTTCATTCAAATTCTAGACTTTTGTCTTAGCAAAACGTGTTCCTTGTCTCATCATAGTCTTGGTGTCAAGTCAAGGTCACAGTGGTGACCCCAGGCCCGGAGGAGACCACACAGAGAATCAGTATCTGTGTATCCATCACAGGGCCACTCCCATCTTCTGCCTCCACTTCCAGCTCCACCAGACCTCCTCATATCCAGATATTCGTTTCTGTTACACACACACACACACATACACACACTCAGCTTCACTGAACAGCTGCGAGATATAACAGCATCAGCTGTGATCATCTGTTGGGCGGCGAGTGCGGAAGTCTCACACATCTTCACACACACACATAATGGAAATAATCAACAGCTGATGTCTGGGCAGACTGGCTGGATACTTGGACCAACTTTGTTATGGATATACAGTGAAGAGCATTTGGCAGTGTGTGTGTGTGTGTGTGTGTGTTCACCTTTGTGTTATAGGTTAAATGTCGTTCTATAAACATCTGCTCTAAAAACAGACATGCTCAGAGGCCACACTTGGTTTTTTACGATCTTTAGAGTGAGTTTTTGAGTGTTAGCCGTTAGCTTCCCTGGGGCCACAACATCAGTCCAGTTGCAGATGGATGTTATTGTTGGCTACTAGAGGATGGAGAAACAGAAGAACCGGTGCCGCCTCTCACAGCCTTAGATATCTGTGTTTATGTCACTCTGGAGAAAACACAGCAGAACCAATCACCAATTTCATATCAAGTGTCCACTTGGACCAACTCAGATAACAGGCTTTCTGCTCCAATACTACAGTACATGGCCCACAGAGCAGGTGTCTGTCCCACATAAGTGGGCCAAATCCTATGCACCTGTGTTTTCACTAAGCTGCTGAATTTCTCTTTCACGTAATCCCTCCTGACTTTCAACCCCTTCTTAAATACCCTCTCTCTCTCTCTCTCTTTATCCTTCCGTCTCCTATGTTTCCCACCTCCTCTCCCTCTTCTCCTTCTCTCTCTCTCTCTCTCTTTCCAGGGAATAGCCTCTGTTCTGCAGCGCAGGTCTGACAACGAGGAGTATGTGGAGGTGGGACGCCTCGGTCCCTCAGACTACTTTGGTGAGTAGTCGCTGGACAGACCAAAAAAAACCAGGAGTTACCAGGATCCTAGTGGGTTTAAAAGTTTCATTGAAGGATTTTTTTTTCATTAATTAGAATCATTGTTTTATCAATTAAACTTTCCTCATTTTTGGAAGTTAAAAATTAGTTTATGCCGAAAATCAGGCAAATAATCCTGAGAGAATAGAAAAAAGCTCATGCTACCAGATTCACAGCCCTGTTTTTAACTACACTGGAAAATAATGTGTTATCATCAACTCTTTATTCAATGATTTGACTATAAATCTATCGGGGGTCTTTAGATGATGATTTGTTCTATTCCCATTTATTGGATTAAATAATTACTATTTATTAATTTATAAATCATATGAGAACAAACAAAAAAACATTGAATGATGGATAATAATGATTGGAAAATGATTTAAAAAAATTACAGAAGCTAAAGAAATCTATGATTGAACTGTAGATCAGTGGTCCCCACTCCAGAGTTGTTCAAGTCTCTGTGGACGTAAAACATTCTGAATGCGATTCCATCTAAATGCCCTCCTCTTTTTATTCCTCCAGGGGAAATTGCCCTGCTCTTGAACCGGCCCAGGGCGGCTACTGTAGTCGCCCGTGGTCCACTCAAGTGTGTGAAGCTGGACAGGCCCCGCTTCGAGCGTGTGCTGGGGCCGTGCTCGGAGATCCTGAAGAGAAACATCCAGAGATACAACAGCTTCATCTCTCTCACCGTGTGACAGACCGGCTCCCCCCGGGGGCCCCACCAGCAGGGGTGGGCTGCGTCAGTATCACAGTTTTAAACCGTGGGTGGGACATGGACGAGGGCACGGGTTAAAGGACGCGGGTTTTACATCTTCTTAAAGACAGCACATATTTTCTGCCCCTCTCCCCGCCCCGTGCTGTGCTTTACCTTTTCTTTCTTTTTCATCTTGTGCACTTTGACCTGTGCTGTTAGCTAGCTTTATGTCACCAACAACAAAAAACAACAACGCAGGAGTGTGAAAATCAGAGCGCAAGGACAGAGACCCCCGTTGAAGGAATCACAGTCTGACGACTTCATACGATGCATGCTTTTAGACCGACAGAGACGGACGCTGGCACTTCTGTGAATTTAGGGAGGATGTGGATGAATTCAGGAAATAAAACAGGAAGAGAAGTGATGTTTATGTACAGCGGGAGGAAGTGAGTTCACATTTCTTTGCTTGCTGTCTGTGGCTTGCCTTTTTTTTTTTTTTTTTAGGAAAAATATTTTAAGTGTGTGTGGAGCTATTTCTGGGTCCAACAAGAGTCTGCGCTCCACAGACTGTGTTTCCTGATAAAACTAGATGTAGGGGTTTGAAGAAAACGTTCATTTGAAGTGTTTTATAAATGTCTGCTTTTCTGCTATTACTGTATAGCAACGCTGCTAGAGGCGCCGATATGTTTTAAAATTTTAATCTAATTTATTGTGTGGCTTTTAAATCCAGTTTTATTGCTGAGAAGAAAACAATTCTTTTGTTGTTGTTGTTGTTTTTTTATCTAAAGTGGTTCAGTCTGATCTGTGAGATCTGCTCCACATATATACAACTAAAATATAACACACGTGTGTATGTAATTACAACACTGTCTCAGGACTGAAACCTGCAACACACACTCACACACACACACACACACCTTATACCTTGTATTGCTGTTAATGCTGCTTTTTCTTCTGATTCTTTGCTAAATAAAAGCTGATGAAGCCGGGCTGTTACAGCAGTTCACATCACCCGATTTTAAGACATTGAAGAAAAATAAAATAGAAGTTAAAACGGACACGTAAACTTCTGTTGTTTTACGTTAATCAGCTGTAACCTCTCGAAAGTTGCACAACCAAAACCCAGCGTCTGTACAAAACTTTCTGTATTTTCTGTCTCTGTATCTCTTTATTTCAACTATCAAACAATGTTGAGAAAATAAAAGTTAAGTATGTGAAATCCTTGGTTTGAGTCGCTGTCTTCTGATCACTTTCTTTTACTTTAATTTCTCAAAAGACTAGACTGTGTGCTGTCTCCATGTAAAGTCTGACCTTTAGTTACCAGACTGATGCAGGAGGATGTGAAGATGAATTCAAGCACCGGGGCGTCTGACCTGGAGGTGACGGTTAATGCACAGTGAAAGATGCTGACGTTGTTGAGAGAAATCCACATTTGTATCACAAATAAAGATAACGTCCCCCCACCCCACTCTCCTCACTCCCCCCTCCTCTCTTCTTCATCCACCTCTCATTAATCCAAGTGTCAGTCATCCGTCAGTCTGGCCTGTCAGGGTCTCAGGTCTCCACCCAGTCTGTTTACACCACCCTGGACCAAAGGCCTCAGCAGCTTTGACACATTCCACTTTATCTTAATGCCCAGTAAATCAACTGAGGAATGTGCCCCCGACTCACAGACGTCCAGTTCAGTAGCCCACTCCTCACACTAATACACTGACACACACCTTCATCACTTTGACAAAAACACACTTAAATACACACGGACACTCAGACAGGTGATAGGTCGGTGTGTTTCTCCTTAAAGCCAGGAAACATTTCAGTTTAAAAAGTTTAACAAGACTTTAATTGATATTTAGAGTTTTGTAGATTTAACAGCGACTGCTTCAAAAATCAACAGAACTTCATGTAAAACACTGTCAGTTCTTACAAAACTGACGTTTCCTTAGAACAACTAAAATAAATGGACTTTTCCACTGTGGTATATGCAATCCCCCTCCATTTGGGACCTGCCTCCTACTTTGGGAACCACTTGTAATTTTTCCTCACCGTTTCCTCCTGACCTGTTTTCCACAGATCACAGTTTCATCTGTTCATTTGATGTAGCTTTGTTATATTAGTCGGGTGGAAAATTACATCCGTGGGATGAATAATTGGTCTTTCTGTGATAGTGGAAATCAGATTAAAACTGCTGTTGTTGTCAAAGCCAAGAATTAACTTTTATCTGAACAAAGGGATCAAAAAGAAAAAAATGCCGCCAAAGGAATCATGACAGGTACTGAACTGCCAGTGTGTGTGTGCGTGTGTGTGTGTGTGTGTGTGTGTGTCTGGACCATCCTGGGTGGCCCAGTTGAGGACAAATGTTGGCACAGTTGCAGAAACATCAGGGTAAAGCTTTGATACCTTGGCACAGAATCCTTTAAGGAATATGAACACACACAGGAACAAGAACACACACGGAAACAAGAACACACACCTTCAAAGATTATTGTACACTCACTTTTAGAGTTTGCTACATTGACACAAACTTTTTTTTTTTACAAACAATTCGAATTTAACAAATTATATCTCTATCTATTAAAATAAATGGACGTCCCCAGGTGATTATTTGAGATAAAAGATGAAAATGTGTTATAACTTGTTATTGTTATTATTATGATTATTTAAATCCACAGTGGATCTTTATGGAAGTCACTTTGTTGTTACAATAAAGTAATAATAATAATAATAATAATAATCATGAAGGACTGTTCCATCATTCACATAAAGTTAAGGGTGAGGACTAGTCAAATATGACAACTCCACCACTAGATGTCGTTGTTTTTCACACAGCGGCGCTTTAAAGAACTATGTAATAAACTGCAGTGAAATGTCACTGGTCATATTGATAAAGTAGTTAGTATGAAGTTCACCTACCGACCAAGTGGCCTAGGTTAGGAGACAGCGACATACCAGTGTCTCCTTGGTGAGATGTTAGCTATCACCTAAATAGATTACCTGCTGTGGCGCCCCCTGGAGATAGAAGTAATTATTCATATACTGAGCAATTATTAGTTCTTTCTTGGTCTCATCATGATTCCAGGACAACAACACCTTGAAGAGGACGAATGGCTCACAGCTACTACTATCCTTACTACAGTACTACTCCCTGATAAGAGTATTTTTAATGCCCAACATTTTGTGGTCCAAACAAACAAAGGCTCGACTCACTGAGTTGGGGAGGAGAGGGAGGAGACGGAGAGGATGTAGAGAATAAAGACGGAGGTGGAGAAGGAGGAGGAGGAGGAGGAGGAATGTTAGGGAAGACTGAGCCGGCCGCGCTGATTAATTCTCTCTCTCTCTGGGTTTTTAGGTGAACTCTGGAGTGGTGTAAAGTCCACTGAGATAAAGTTTTATCCCAGAATTAATCCCAGCATGGGAACATTTTTCCTCTCGCTGTCTTCCTGTGCATCCCACCACACTGCAAGTTTAATGTAACAAAAATTTACAAGATAACGTTCCTGGGAATATTTGGTACGTGTGTGTGTGTGTGTGTAGGGGGGGCTTTATTTGTGTCTATTTGTTGCATTGACTGGTGTCTTGGGAGAGAATGTTTTTATTTGGTGCTGCATATTTAGATTTGGCACAGTGAGCGCGGCCCTCTGGCGTGTGACCCTCAGCCTTCCTCCGTCTTTCTCTTCCTGACACTCTCTCTTTTGTTTCCTGCCGTCCTCTCCTGCTCTGTTTTCCCATAGCCACCAGCTCTACTCCCTTCAACCCCTCATCTGTGGAGATCCAGGCTAATTAAAATGCCTGCCAACACTGGGCTACAACCTCCATTGAGTCTCCCAGTCTTTCCCTCCTCCACGATCCCCACTCCCTGGTGGAAAAGAACCCCCCACTCCACTGCCTCCCTCCCACACCAACCGCCTGCACTAATGACCACAGCCTTTGATACACAGGGTTCAGCCACGCTGGGTTAGGAATGGTCCTTGAACATCTCACCTCCGCCTGGTCTTTACTTTTGCTGCTCTGATTCTTAGCTCTAATCGTGACCTTCTGGGGTCATAGGTTACCACCCAGGCCTGGTCACAGGTGAGTGAGCAGCAGTGGAATGATGGGATTGAAAGGTCAGAGATGAGAAAGGGGTGCCGGGGGAGGTCATGGGGGGAGAAAGAGTCAAAAAATTGGGTCAGTAGATCACCACACAGTCCGTTTGGGTTGGAAGGAAATTTATCACATCATGTCTGAAAAAGGTTTTACCTGCTGGAGCGAGTCATGGACTGATAACAATTGTACAAATCCATAAAGTAAATAAACTAAAGCGGCCGTTGTTCATATCACTATTGTTGGATAATAATAAACTCCACTGTGACAAAATATATGAAAAATACTGCGATTGAAATTGATTTGCCTCATCCTGCACCCTGGCATCAGCTCTGCGCCCCCCACTTTGGGAACCAATGGCCAACAATACATTCTCCAGAAGACATAGAGCATCATGGCTCCTGTTTTACTGTGGTAGTTATGTGAAGCCTTTTTTATTCAGAAGTTCTCATCTTCTGTATTAAAAAATCTATAATACTCCCAGGACAACAGCACTGACGCAGCACAAGAATCAACAAAAGAAAAGCCAGAGTCAAAATGCTGGAAAAAACGACTAAAAATCTCAGAACTGGAAGAAATCCTCAGGATTTTTTCAATTGTCCTTAAAGGTACACAGAAATAAAAATAATTCTTTATTTAATTTCTTTATTTGCACTGAATATAGAATTTTTAGTAAGGACAAATTTAACTCTATGTAAATATATTTTTCTTAAGATTTCTATCCAGAGTATACACTCAACTATGGAAGTTTGTAAACCACTGTTAAATTCAACAATCAAAGTGTTGGTGACTGTAGGAACCGACCACCGAAAAGTTTCAGTTGGCTAGCTCCAAAAAACTTAATGTGATCAAATCTGTTTGTTTTTTCGGTCTTTCTTTCCCAAGCTTGTTATTGTTACTCATTTCCTTCTGGACCACAGTGTATAATTCACATGTATACATGTTCTGACACCACAGCCAGACGTCCCAGACGTGTCTCCAGTCTTCAAAGCTAAACTCCACCGACTCTCCTCCAAACGATGTGCAGAACAAACAAACAAAAGCCCTAAAATGTTCTCCTAACATTCTGCATACTCAAGGGGGTAAAAAACAACCGGCTAAATATTCCATCGCACACATGACTCAGCAGTTCCCCGCCCACGTCCATCACTGCCCGGCACAATCTCTCTCTTCACTTGGACTCTCCTCCCCTGGGACGCAGGACAGCAATTGTCTGAATTGTTTCTCTTTTTGCTCAGCCTCCTACTCCGAGAGGAATTGTTGGTGTTTAGAGAGCAGATCATAAAAAATGAGCTGATCTGTATTTTAATTACATTAGGAAGATGAAGGAATGCGCCCAGTTAAAAAGTCCCTCTAGGATTGAGGAGGAAACGACCAATCAGATAATGACCACAGATCTATGGCTGTTTTAAACACTGTGAAAGGACGGATGACCTCAGTCCCCGGAGACACTAAAGCATTCTTGGCCAAACAGATCTAGAGTGGACATCCTTCGTCTTCTGTCCTCATTAGGATGGAGTGTGTGCTCACACACACACACACATCCATAGAGATTTCTCTTCATCCTCCACAACACAACCTCCCACCACAGGTGAACACTTGGACATCCCCAAACCTCCAGCCCTACCTTCAAGGACCTCCAACATCCCAGTTGCGCCCCAAGCACCGCCTGTAGACCGAGGCCGGTCGCCCGTGGGAGTCTCCAGGGGTGACTTGGTTCCTCTAAACCCCACAGGAATGCGTGGATTTGGGTGAGTGCTGTAACCAGAGAGCACTCTCACCCATCTTTAAGCCCATAATGGAGCCACTTCCTGTTAATAATCACTTTGTTGTGATCTCCTCCTGCCTCTGGATTTTGACACTTCACCTTGAGAATGGAGAGGAGGTGCAGATGTTGTATGTTTCTCTCCTGTTTGTCGTTCAAACAATACAAACTGGCAACGCAAACACTTTTTTAAAAAGAAATATAACAGACAAACACTTCAAAGTTGTAGTTTCAGGTTTTCAATTATTATTAACACTGCCTCCAGTTCGTTGCATATTTACTCAAGTATCGGAATCCGGAAGTACACGAATGAACATACTAATAATGATACCGGTTTGTAAAACTCTAAACTCTAAACTCTAAAACTGTATCTCGATAACTCCTAATGTGAAAAAAATCAACTCTGTTGATATTCCCTCACAGACACCAGGACTCAGAGTCCGAGGTCTACGTCTCCGCCCTGGCCTTTCTCCATCAGCTGCTTACCAAAAAAACTGCTGTAATTATTCTTTAAAGCTGCTCGAGTGCTGCTTCCAGATGAGCTAACAGGGAGTTTGTTGTATTAGGGGCTCACATTAAACACCATTAATTGTTACCTCAATGTGTGTGAAACTGCATCACAGCACAACCCATAAACTGGCCTTCTCTCCTGGAGCCGCAGTGCTTACGTGGCTCACTGAGGTGCGGTCGCTACGCTGTGAAAATTCCATGCCAAAATTAAGTCTATGGTATAGCTCACTGTTTCCCAAACTTTTTTTTCTTCTTCTTAATGTACGTGGGGCCAACGCTTTTTAGAAAGGCCAAACTGTTGCATTTGCAGTTGAAGATATAAATCATGAAAAATGAAAAAAATAGTCTGAAGTTTTGTGCTATTTTTTTTACACTTTCTTCAACACCTGATATTATTCTTAATTAGTAAAGCCACTAAATTTAACAAGCACAGCCTGCGTCTGATGTAAATCTTCAGTGATGGGTTGGCTGGAAAAATGTAGCGAATATATTTGGAGACCCCCCACCCTTTTGAATATTCTCCTGTGAGCCACCTGTGTGTTCCCACCCAGTTTTTTGGGACTTACATTTATTACTCAGCTTACTCAAACAACATAATGTCCTGGTAATGGTACGGCATAAAACTGGGCGCGACACTTTCTGGTACTTTTTAAATACCTCTTAGATCGAGGACAAGTTATTTAGTTCATAATCTCTTGCTTTGATTCCTCCCTCGTCTCCTCTCCCCTCCTCTCACCCTTCCTAGTTACAGACAGCTAATGTCACTCAAGTCAACCAGGGAAATAACTCCCTAACCTCCCCCCCCCTCCTGATATGTGACTCTAACCCCCCCACTCCTCCTCCACATCCTCGTCTCCTCCGCCATCATCACATCACCACCACCAGTGGTTGCCCTTTATCCCATGGTGCCTGCACCATCAGTGGGCCCACGGCTAGTGACAGACACGGGGAGAAGTGAAAGCCCCCAGTGACATGCCAATTGGAGTCATTACGGGCTTATAGGCTCCTAATAGATTTCTGAGGACAGCTTTGTGTTCTCCCACTGAGAACTGAGCCCGTCTGTCAGTCAGACCTTTCCTGCCCAGTGGTTCTGGTGCCAAATGCCATTTCTGAACCTGTAACCAGTGCCACAACTGGTGCCAGTGCCAGTGGCTAATCTGGAACTTATTCCACACATTTCCACCCAAAAACAAATGGTGGTCCAAAAGCTGCAAACGCTGACTGTAGAGGCTGTCGGAGGTACTGCAGCCAGAAGTGATCTTCCAGTTTACACGAGTGAAAACAGCAGCAGGAGTTCAGGTTTTTAGGGAAATAAAAAGATTTTAATAATTTTTCAAAAGGACAAATTCGTTTTTCTAGTGTTTTGTTTAGTATTTCAGCTCTCAGGTTGGATTTGAACTTTACTGCGTGTCACTGGTGTTCAGGTATTGTCTACTTTTCAGAAGTGACGTCCAGTGACTGCACATATTTAGCAAAGACATTTTTAAACATTCAATCTGAGTTTTTTTCTACTTGTTTATACGACTGAATAAAACCACTACCACGACAACATTTACACACACATCTATGGTCAGCGGAGAGTCCAGTTAACTTAATCCAGCATGTGTTTGGACTGTGGGAGGAAAACCCACACACACACACACACACACTCGGGGAAACCATATGAACTCAATACAGAAAGACCATCAGTCACCACCAGGGATCAAACCAGTCAAACCATCTTCTTGCTGTAAAGCAAGCGCACTGACCGCTCTCCAATCATGTGCTCTACTATTATAACTATATTTATCTTTGTCATAACAGTTTGTTGGTTGATGTTCTGCCAGAGTGTCACACGTTTCAAGCCATTTTTGTTTGACAGTTTCTCTCCCAGGGTTACAATCCCTTGGTTCCACTCACTGTTTAGTCACTAGATGTCATGTAAGGCAACATGAGCCCACTTCATTTTCCTCGGCCTCCCACAGAAAGTAATATGGCTGGAAGAAAACATCAACACACTGAAGATCACGATTTATCACCAGATTCTTGCCAATACACAGCGTTAGAAACCAAACACTTGTGTGACTACAGTGTAGGTGCTCCATCCCTCTGTGACGGCGAGGACACAGGGTCCGCTCTGTTCATCCCACCTCGTCCTTACCCACCGTCCTCATACCAGGACTTGAGACTTGGCTGATTAGCAGCGTTCTCCGTCTTCATCACAGAATAAATCTAAAGATGATGCAGCTGGAGATCTCGGAGTGTTGCCAAAGAGAAGGGGGGCGGGGGAGTATGGGTGAGACCACCACAGAGTCGGGGAGACCACTTTCTTCCACCTCACCGGTTCCCACAGCTCCCCACACATCACCCACACGTTAAAAAGGTCACGTCTTGATAGACAACAGAGCACCGGCAATTACACTGCTATTTCTCCGTGGCTGGAAGTCCCCTGTTTTCTCTGTGTGTGTGTGTGCGTGTGTGTTTGCTGAAAGCGAGAGTTTTTTTTTCCCCTTTTGGTTGGAGAATAAAGAGGCAGTGTTTTAAGGGGAAAAGGAGCAAGGACAGGGGGAAACGGGGAACTGCATGTAAGGACTTGTGCCCAGATTGCTTCATGTCTGTCTGTCTGTCAATTCGTGGAAATTAGATAATGTGCATGAAAGAGTGCAGGTGTGTGAGCTCTAGTGCATTAGGCTGCTGCAGATTCCCACACTCACAGTGGAACTGTGGGTTCATTAGAGAAAGCATGCCGTGCGTGGGAGTGTTCTTACCTGAGCTTCACGTCTGATTTTGTTGCTACGTTGGATTTCCTTTTCTCCAGTCGGGGAGCGCTGGCCTGCCGTCTCCTTCCTCTGCGGTGGTGTGGTGAGAGGCGGCGATGAGGAGTCCGGCTCTCACCTGGACGCCGAGGTTAAACTCCACGACCTGCAGATGGTGTTTGCTGAGGCTGCAGAGAGGGGGAAACACACACACACACACACTCAGATTTAGATTCAGAGGGAGAGATCTCTTCCAACCTGTTCCCAGTATTTTCTCTCTTCTGTGTCAGTTCTCCTTCACACTGAACACCTATTTCTAGTTTTCTCCTGTGGTTTTCATGCAGCAGCACAGAGTGAAAAAGTCAATGCCTGGTCAAACAAGTGACGGACAGCAGTTTGACAGCTCTGGAGCTCACACACACACAGGATGCTGCGGTCTCTGAAGAACTGGACTTTTCTGCTCCAGTGCCTCGTGCTGAGACTCTCTTCGTGTCACTGGTTTTTGTGTTTTTTACGTGGGCATATGGTGTACGTTTTGTGATTCCCTCCAGAGGTGGACTTGATTTGACACTTGTGGCTTGTGAAAGAGCTTTGAGGCATTGTGCTGCCCTAAATGCCTGTTCACCTATAGGGCCTTAAAGGAAAAGGAGGTTCAGAGGAGGCGCGGGGAGGCCCCAGAGCGCGCTCCATTCAGGTCGCTATGCGTGTTACGGAGATGAATGCTAGAAATCATTGCTATAAAAGAGCAGCTGCTCAGAGGACCAGTTGGATGTGTGGCTCCTGTACCACCGACCCCGACCCACCCACCCCTCACCGCTTAATATTCACTGAACAAAGAGTAAGAATGTGACTTTGCCTACGTGTTAGTGCGTCCATGTTCACTGCCTGTAGACTTTGTCCTGGAAGTGCACTCTGCTCTATAATTTCTCGGGAATTTACCTTTGCTCCAGTGAGATTTCACCTGAATCACTTAAGTGTGTGTGAAACCATAAATGTCACAGATGTTTCTAATGGACCTATTACAAGGCATCATCTGGAGTCAAATAACACACAGACACAGAGACACAACCCACTAATTTATACAACTTTCTCATCACAGGCACTGATGAGCCAGCTATGGCGTTGGTTAGCCTTGTTCTAGCCTGGAGATAAGGGAGGAGATCACTCAGTATGCTACACAGAACCTGCTCCTTGAGTCCCTGAGTCATGCACCCGGCCTGATATGGCTGGGTGGTGCCGGGAGAGACACCAAGTTGAGATCAATGTTTATTTCTCCGTTGCAGGGCAATCCACCCCATAAACCAGCAGGTCTTTGAAATTACAAGGTGTCATAGAACTGGGATGCCCCTTGGAAAACATGTCAAAACGACCATAAAGGAAACAGCTGCGGCGGTGAATATATACGGCTATCAGGGGACGGAGTTTCTATTGTCAGCGCTGTTATCTCCTTTATGGCTCCCTGCACACACCGAGGCCTGAGATTCAGCATTGTGTTTAGACTGAGTTATGGACAGAAAGGTGTGCTCCAAGAGTCACGGTGCTGACGTAGGCCTGCGCTCAGTGACAATGTGTATCGACTGTGTTTTAGAGCAGCAACAATTGGATGGACGTTGTCATTATGATTTTAATAATTGGGCCTTAAATGCGTTTCCTCTTTTTCCCTGACCAGAGACCATCACAGATCCAATGCTAAAGTCAAATACCTCACTGATAACTTTCCAAGGAATAAACGGTCGACATCAACCAGAGTGTACAGACATATTAAATACACTGTATATATGAATATCCTTTGTGTTTGAATAACAGTGTTTCCACTCCTTAAACATATTTAACTCAGTTAAATATAGCTCACCCCAAAATAGCATCTCAAAATAAATAACTGCTCTGCCAAGGTCAAAGAACCCAGGTGACCTCTTCCTGTAACCATGGAAATGGATGATAAGAACACACAGACTCGTCCAGACTGAGACACGCTCCAAAGCCCTGAGGGCATGACTACTCACATCCAACGCATTCTTAAAAGATTTCCCCACTTCCTGCCTTTTTCCCTACCCTTCTCA